ATCACTCCTCTCACAAGAGTGCTGTCAGGAGTTTGGGTTAAAGTTATTTGCTGTTGGGATTAAGCAACAGAATATGTTGTCAGGAGAAGTGCTAGCAAGTACATTTTTTCATGTATCTGCTTAGAACTGTGTTACACATTACATAGGAGTGGATTCTATGTATTGCTGCTTTTTTCTGCTTTTAATGGTTAGATGACCTTCCCTTGAATTTACAGCCCGGAACAATTGAAGAAAATAATATTGTTAACACTCAAAGGTTGTTACATTGAACTAATATGGAGATGGATTTTGATTTGTACTGCTTTTTTGGGTAGGAACTTCTGTGTCCTTACATTTTAGAGCTTTGATGTTAAATAATTGAATGAGAAATGAGGAGGTGTTGAATTGTCTGGAATATACTGAAAGGAGAGAAGTGATTTATGTTTGGAGCAAGGGGGTTGTCTTCTGGGATTTGTGATTTGTTCACTTTAACTCTAGAGCTGGCTTAATAGTGCATGCTGTAGATGTACTGCTGTTTCGTCCAAACCAGCAAAGGGAAACTAAAGCCTTTTATGATTGCTTAGGTTACCCATTTGTTATGTGTTCATGCCCACGTTGCTATCCAAAGCCGCAAGCATTTTTGTCATTTGATACTGTACTGGTGCAAGGCAAATTATTCATTGGCTTTACATGTCTGTCAGCTTTTATAAGGCAAGAATGTCAGCACAAGGTGCATCCAAGTGAAATGGAGTTGGCCACAAGAAATAGAGTAGCAACTGTTGCTATTTGCAATCTAGACAGCAAATCCTTTCTCCACACTGTAATTTTGGACAACAGCCCTGCTCAGGGACACGGCATCTGGTAGAGGAGCAATTTAATTTTAATGTGAATTCTGTAACCACATATTCAGAGATTTCAGTGCAGCATGATGTTGAGTTCACGTTTGAAATGATAAGAGAGGTGGGTGTTAAAATTTTTATTTGTCACAGAAGGAAAGGGAGAAGCCTCTGTCTCCTAAAGCATCGCCTAACTGGCATGAATATTTGAGGAATAAGCACCCTTTGTCTAGGATGACTGGTATCAGGGTGTAAATCATCCCCTGGAAGACTGTCACCACCTTTGTATAGCTTCTTTCTTTGTAGATTTTGTTCACCCATATCATAATTAGTGTATTGCTCCCAAAGCCAGTTTGCTGCTCTAGGTGCAGGGAGGTATGTGTAAATCTAAGATGGTTTATCTAATTTTGATACCCTCAAGATTATGCCTTCTCAGAGTCCTTACGTACACAGATGGTGTTGAAAACAAATGCTGGAAGTAATAGATTTAAGTATTTCCAGTGCTGTAATACTGTAAAGAAGCAAGCAGTAGAGATTCACAGCGAGAGCTGTGCTTATAAATAACCCTCCTTGGAATACAGAAACTACAGACCATTAAAATGGCAGCTGAATCTGCTGCGTAGTACTCCCCTCCAGGCAAAGCTTATGGGAAGCTGGGAAAGATAAAAAATAACCTAAACAAACAAACCCAAATCTAACAACCTAAAAGGTATCTGGAAGAGCTTTTATTAATTGTGGGGAATGCGCATGCGAATAGTGAAAGAGTTAGAGGATCTGAGAAAAGGAGAAGAGCAAAAGATTTCCAGATGTATTGATATGAAGAGAAAACAGTTGAGGTTTTTTTTTTTTTGCGAAGTATGTTTGTTCTGGTATCTGCAAAGTGTTCAATCACTTAGCTCACCTGAAAATTCTTGGATTCTTATATATGAATTGCTTGGAAGGAAAATTAAGTCAAGGATTGCAAGGGCTGAAAGGGCAATTGGAGGTCAGCTTTTTGAATGGGGCTTATAGCGGCTATAACATCGAAACTGTACGCAAGCATTTTTTTCATTCTGGGTTTTTTGTGTGTGTGAACTTTACCACAGGGCCATTGTATAATACACAAGTTCCAAAGAGCAAAAGTACACGAGCTGGCTGAGGGTCACTGTGGGATTCAGTGGCTGTATATAGTAAGAACATTTACCAGTAATATGGTTGGTTCAATTAATGTCAGTCCTATTAAAAATCTGTCTGTAGTCTTTATGCATGTAAAAGAATATTGAAATAAACTGTGTGGATAATCCCTGGAATGTCTGTAGATCCAACTTTTTTCATATCTTCTTCAATGCCCTGAAAATACTGAGCTGCTTAAAGCAAATCCTTCTGCAGTGAGCTCTTGTACTGTATAATATGTATTTCAAAATAGGCTTGACTTGTGCTGCTGTGAAATCACCAGGGATTCTTGAACTCTTTGTGTTTTGGATCATCCTTCTTGCTAATATCCCTTAACTCCTAAAAGCTTGTCCCATTCTAAAAGCTGAGGGACCAGCATGACCTATTTCTGGCTTTCTGTCCAACAGAAGGATTTTGTTTAGCAGCAGCTTTCCTTCTAGGAATTTTTCTCCTTGACTTATTTCAAATAAGGACTACAGAAATATAGTATTAGGAAGCTGTGAGTCTATTGCTTCAATCTTACTACTTCTGTGCAGTGTGACAACTCTGTAGATACTCAGATTCACAGATGAAGTTGAGGGTCAACAAGCTCATTAATTATACTCCTAAATGTCAAGTTAGCTAAGAGTTTGTATTTTATTTCCTGTAGGTATTATCAACCCAAAGAATCCTAAGGAAGCACCAAAGTCCTTCAGCTTTGACTACTCTTATTGGTCCCACACATCGGTAAGTTCTTTTACAAGAAAACCATATTATTTTGATTTAACTGCATTCTCTTCTGATCACGCTGTCCCTGTCGGATGTTTCTTCACTCTCATCTTCATTCAGGTTAACAGCTTGTCATTTTATCTTGTTTCTTCCTGTTTGGGGGAGAGCAGAAAACTAAGCTCCTGGAGTTTGATAACAAGTTGTGGATATTTGAAAGATTACATAAAATATTCTCCAAGAGTGTTCTGTTCTAAATATTTAAAGGTTGCGTGTGAACCACAGTTAATTCAGTTTTGCTCTTAGACAAGTGAAAGTTGCTCAAGTTCTTCCAGTTCAAGGAGAGATGTGGTCTGGGTTCTCTTGACATATCTGGAGAAGACAGAGAGGTGATCCATGTTTCCGATAGCTGCAAAACCAATAAACTTTCATCTGACTCCTCTGCCCCACCCTCCTGTGAATTGGTGCTAAGGTCTTGCTGACTTCCAGTAATTGTTCTCCAGCAGAACTGTGTTGTTCTGCCACCTACCCCTCCCCTGCCTTATTTTCCCAAAAGATATAGAAAGAAGCGATAATGCATTTCACTAAGGATAAATTTAGTAACTTGGCTGTTGCAATTAAAACTATTTCTGAGCAAAACAGTGGCTGATGAGATTGTTTTCATGATGAAGAAACTTGGATTTTTGCAGATTTCCTTGATTTTTCCGCAACCACGCAAGTAGCTTACAAGATCAGTCGGGGAACAGTATGAAGATAATTCCTGAGAACTCCCAGATAAGCAGCATCAAGGAAAGAAAGTGTTCTGATAAAACCTCGAGCCCAACATTAGAATGTTAGCACAGCTAAATTTGTTCTGATACCAGGTGCAAGTCATGCTAGATTAAGAATAACAGTTACGTACAATGTAGTGATGTACTCCTACAAAATCAGTTGTCAGTGGTATGTCCTCTGTGCAGCATAAAACATCTGCATAGATAATCATTAGTGTGATATTTTTTCAAGTATATTTACCGAGGACATTCTTAAATAATCGAGAGATTAATCTAATATTAATACATAATCTTGGATTGCCTCTCATGACTTGATGTTGAAGTCTGATCAGTACAGTGCCTGAAAAACACTATTTAAAAAATAGAGAATTAATTTCTACAATTCATTAAGTTTTGTTTTGAACAGGTTCTGTATTTGCCTTGGGATCTGGCAAGTGTATTATTTTTAATATATTTAACTTGTGATTTTTTTTTTCTTTGCCTCTTTTCAAAATGCAACAAATTTTTTAGTTGAGTGATTGAAGGTGATAACTTTTTCCATATCTAGATTACTATCACTGGGCGCATCTGCAGTAGAGTTTGTTTTATCACTGGGCTAAACTGCTTTAAAGTAGCTTTTTTAATGTTATGTTTCAGTTTTATTGCTAACCTTGAGTTTAGCCATAGAAAAGTGCTCTGATACACTGTCCTTGACCAGTTCAGCTGTTTGCTAATTTGAAGTATGTATTGACATACTTAAGGATTTTGTAGTCACCAAGGAGGCTACAATTGCCTCTTCCTAAGGGATTAACCCACAAGACAGAAGTAGAAAAAAAACCCAGTTGCTTATTGAAATGTTATGGATGATAGCGTAAGAGTATATTTATGCTGTTTTCATGTTTTTCCAGCCTGAAGATCCCTGCTTTGCATCTCAGAACCGTGTGTACAATGATATTGGGAAAGAGATGTTGCTGCATGCCTTTGAGGGCTACAATGTTTGCATTTTTGCCTATGGACAAACTGGAGCTGGGAAATCCTACACAATGATGGGCAAGCAGGAGGAGAGCCAAGCAGGCATAATCCCCCAGGTAGAACATAACCCAGAAAGGCGATTTGTTTTTTATAGCATGTTTAGACGCGTGATGTTTTTATATTGCAATAATAATAACAATAGTTAACAGAAAACCGCAGCTTACTTCTGAAATTAAAGAAATCTACGGGGAAAAAGAGCTTTATACGTAACTTTCTCTCTATTATGTTTTTCTTAATTGTACTATATACTCTGTGTTTTCCCATCTCCACTTCCCCAGCAAACTAGTAAATGAAGATGTCTTATTCACTGGGTTTATTGTCTCCTTCGCTGACTTTAGCTAGGACAGCACTTAAGGACTTTGTGTTCAGCAGTAATTCAAAACATGGTATTACTCATGAATATCCCAAAAAGTTTTTTGTGAAAACAAGTTTCCCAAAGCAAAAAAATAAACAATGTATCTTGGTAAGAAATGAAGTGTATCAAAACATTGGGAAAAAATATTTAGGGCAACTGAGCACAGCCCAGTGTATTGAGACTGAATGACAGTGATATAGAATTGGCATGTATTGTCTTCCCAGTGAGGCTGTATGTGGTTGATGTAGTATGTTTTTTCCTTCCCCTACCCTCATTCTAAAGCCAATTTAATGACATGTTACAGTAGTTACTTGTTACTACTCAGTAAAGACTAATGTCTGACTTGGGTTTAATCTCTTTCCAGCTATGTGAAGAACTGTTTGAGAAAATCAATGACAACAGCAATGAAGAAATGTCATATTCTGTAGAGGTGAGTGTGGTGAGAGACCAAAGAATATCTGTGTGCTGGACACCAAACTGAGTTTAGGTGCTGTGTTATTGATGCTGCATTAAGATGCTGATAAAATAAAAGCAGGTGCTTTGCAGAAACAGTGTTTTCTTTCTCTTAGTGTTCCCACCCCAGTCAGTTTTAATGACTTGACATGCAAATATGTTTCAGGCATTGAAAGAAAGAAAGATCATAAAGCTGGTAAAAGTCAAATGTGATTATTACTTATAATTGTGAACTCCAATCGTTACTGCTTCTAAATTATGGAACTGGAAGTTTACTGGTTCTGTGGCTTTGAATCTTTCCATTTTAACGCTTCATTTAATTGTGTTTTATTAACATTCAGTGATTTAATACTTGAATGCCACAGGAGCATCACGTTTAGGATTTGTGAATGAGAAGGCTCCCACGTTTTTGTGATGTGTTTTCTATTTGGTACTTGTTTATGGTTCTGATTTTCTCTCCAAGCATAGATTTGTGCATGTAAGAGAGAGAAATCATCTCTTTTATAGTAGAAATACAAAAGAATGAACATCTGTCAAATAACCAGAGAAGGGAGACAGCTAGACAGAAACCATGATGGAAGTGTCTAAATAGTGTGTTCTGATCTGTTTTGGATATAGAATTCATTTTTCTGAATTGTACTTAGAGATTGAAGATCTCTTTTTGTATTTCTAAAACTAATACTTACATCTGTTATTTTTCCACAAAATGAAAGTGAGCAACTTACTGTCTGTTAATGTTTGATATCTTGACTTCTGGAGCTGCTGAAGTACCTGTTGGACTGGGATAAGCTTAGTGTCATGAGAAACATAAAAATTAAAGAATGCATTTAAAAATAATCTTAGCTTTATAATTTATTTCAAAGGGTGCAGATTTAAGATTACCATAGTTTGAATAATTATACTGATGACTCAGGAATACAGCAGGACACGTGTACACCTTAGAATCTCAAGTTGCTTCTGCATAGAAAGAAATTAACTTTTTCCCTTCTTAAATTTGCTTTGGAGGTTCATAAGAGATTCCTTGAAGGCAGACTCCTTTTACCATCTCTCTTTGCCTCTTTAGAAAGAGTTTTACTGCTGTGTCATATTAAATCTGTTGAAATGATTGTGAACTCAAGTGTGTAATCCTTAATTAAACACCCATATTGTTGAAATTGAGAGTTGCAAGGCCTGCAGCTTATGTTGGAGTTCTGATACATGAAACTAGAGACTCGTTTTCCCTTATGTCGTTGTCTTAAGCTGTTATGTGAACTGAAGCACTCACCTATAGCTTTCCTAGAGCAGTCTGGGAGAGCTTCTACCAGTGGCACTCTGAAATGCTGCAGAGCTGCTTGCAGAGGAAGCCTTAAGAAACACCTTAAGAAACACCATAAAACTTCCCTTATGGTCCATGCAAATTCCTGTTTTTAGGTGAGTTACATGGAGATTTACTGTGAGAGAGTCAGAGACTTGTTGAACCCGAAGAACAAAGGGAATTTGCGAGTGCGAGAACATCCTCTGCTTGGACCGTATGTGGAAGATCTGTCCAAGTTAGCAGTCACGTCTTACACAGACATTGCAGACCTCATGGATGCTGGGAACAAAGCCAGGTTAGTGATGGTAGCATGTTATATATTTTTATTCCTGTTGTGGGAATGTATGGGATATAGCAGCAACTTTAAAATATCTTTTGTGATGCATTGGCACTTATTAAAAAAACTCATGTCACATGAGGAGCATTGTTAAAATATGCACTTACAAATGCTATTAAAAGGCTGAAATTTATTTATGTGGTGAAATAGGGCTGCAAATCGCTGTACAGATATTTAAAACTTGTAAAGGCTTGAGATGAAGTCTGTAAATTATTATACTGGCTTTTGGTTTTGCCTGTGTGTACTGTATCACTTTATTGGTGTAAATAAACATGTAAACATAATCTTCTGTTTCATTCAAGTTGTCAAGGCTAAAGCTGGCTTTCTAGCTTTAGGTTCTGGTTCATTGGTAGTTGTTTTCATGTCAGCTGTAGGCTCCATTTAACAATGTGTAGGAAAGACTGACAAATGCTGCTCGCATTTTCCTGTGTGTTTGAGTGTAACGTAGATTCTCGAGTACACAGATTGAGGAAGCTGTGTTTAAATTGCGATGAAGATGGGAGTAATTCAGGAGTGAAAAATGAAAGGGTTTATTAATTATATTTGATGTATTTGAAAATTTGATAATGATACAGCTGCATTCAGCCCTGCAGGTAGTTGTACTTGCAGCACAGAGGCTACTGTTTTCTAAACACATCTGTATCTGTTCATACTTCAGGACTGTGGCAGCTACCAACATGAATGAAACCAGCAGCCGCTCTCATGCTGTGTTTACAATTGTCTTTACTCAGAAGAAACATGACACAGAAACTGATCTTTCCACAGAGAAGGCAAGTTGCAAATAAGAATTGGCTTTCTGACTGTTTTTCATGAATCTTCCCTGCACTGACTTATTCTTATTGGCAGTATGATGAGAAAATGAGAACTTATTACTTTTTCTGGTGTTCTGTTTAAGGGTGTACTTGCTATGTGCCTTGACAGAGCTCTTTTATTTCTTTTGGGATTTTGTTTGAATGTAGTTCTAAAACAAACCGAATGGGGTGTATGTGCAGGAGGAGAATATATAGATGTGGTAAAAATATGGCCTTAAGGACTAGGTTCTATGGGGAGGGTTATATGAAATAAATTATCTTCCCCAGTCTTGTTTCCAGAACTTTCTGTGGTTTTGCTTGTCGGTGTGAAATTTTTGTCTCTTTAGTTCTTTTCTTTGGGATAAGTGAGACTTAGGCACTTTCTGCAATTTGCATGTTAAAAGGAGGTATGCTCTTTAGCATGGAACAGGTTTCCAGCATTTATTACTCTGAAATAGAGGCTCTGCATGCAAAAGTAACTGAAGTACAGGTAATGTTCACATTTCTGAACTGACTACTGTGGACAGATTTGGAAAACTTTATGTATTGAAGATGCCTCACCCCCTAAATGCTAAGACTCTGTAAAATGATTAGTAACTGACATGCAGTCTGCAGTTTTAGTTAACCCAATGCTTTATTGTTGTCCCTTGAGTCAAGATGAAACGTTAAGTTTCTCTTCCTTTGAGATTCCTGTGTTGTCTGTAGCAGTAACACTTAATTTCTTTTGACTTCTGTTCTGCTCTGTTCATATGAGACCGCATTCTCTCTTCTTAGGTAATTTGGAGTACAGTGACATTTAGAATAGAACATAATCCTAGACACTACTTATCCATAAGACAACAGCATTAATGTAATTGCTTTTGAAAACCTTTGTCTGACTGCAGTTTTAAGCACACTATTGTGATTTTTTTTTAATCTTTTATTTTTTTGGGGCAGTAGAGTTCTTCTCATGCCATCGAATTCTATGAAGTTTTGTTCTTACTCTAGTCCACTGTGAACGAAATGACATTGCTAATGTACTTTCTCGTTTCAGGTCAGCAAGATTAGCCTTGTGGATCTAGCTGGGAGTGAGCGAGCTGATTCAACTGGTGCCAAAGGAACCCGATTAAAGGTATTGGGTCATTGGTGTATGGGGAAGGAAAGTGAAGTGGGTGCACAAGCCTCATGTGGAGGCTTTGCTAGACAAATAAGGAGGAAAAGAAAGGATTGCTATTATAAGTGTGGAAAAAATAGTTGCAAAACTGAAGACTTCTTGCCTCTGATCGTAGATGTGATATCTGGCTCATTTAGCCTACAGAGGTTTATGATTGAACAGTTTTAATTACTGTGTAATACTGGATTCTGTTTTCTCAGGAAGGAGCAAATATAAACAAGTCTCTGACAACTCTGGGCAAAGTTATTTCAGCATTGGCTGAAGTGGTAAGTACAGCATTTACTTACCTGCAACAACTTTTCTATAGCTACTAAAACAGAGAGACAGTAAATACCATGGAGTACAGCAGAATCATTCACTGTTCTTGGCCTTGCATTCTCAGCCAAATCAGCTGTGTCTATTTTGATAGGTGGATGGTGTTGATAGTGTTCTGTGGATGCCATGCGGCCTGGTAGAAACTGTTTTTGTAGATTAATCGAAGCATTGGTTTATTTAGCTGTGAAGAAGCCTTGCAAAAGAGGCCTACGTTTGTGTGGAAGACATGTTCATGTAGCAAGCTTTTAGTTCTGCAGAGCAGTAACTTTATTTTTATTTGAAAGAATAACTTTAGGAAACTAACTGCAGCTTTATTGCTAAAAATTTTAGACATACCAGTGTACTAATATCACTGGCTTTTTCTGCAATGGCAAGACTTAATGTGTTGAGTTGAGCAAGCATATGTTGATCCAAAAATCATGTTGTAGGTTTAGAAAAGTGCTTTGTCTTTTGCTTGTTATACCTAGCTACCGTTATTGGAAAACTAAGTAAATTATTGCTGCTACGTTTAAAAGTGAGTTCTCAACAGCTTGAACAAGTGGAATATACTTCTAGATGATTTCTAGATGATTTTTTTAAAACGTAAACTATTCTCATTCATTGGGCTTCTCAAGAAAAGAGAATCCTATCCAATTTAACATGGAAATTATATATAAAGCTCTGTTAAGAAGCTCATCTTGTATCTTCTTCCTCTTTCTTTAATGCTTTCAATTTAGGATAATTGCACCAGCAAGGTATGATGGTCTGAGTAATAGTGGATGTTGTCTTTTTTGCCTGAGCGTAAGATTTTCTTCACTTTGGAATCCAAGAGCAGGGATCTCTTATGTCAAGTCTTTGAGAAATTGCTGTGACTAAAAATTAGTCATGAAGGCTGAGAATTATCAGTACTAAACTTTAAAAATGTTTGAAGGTTGGGGATAAATTAATGAAAAGTACACTTTTAAAGTATGTGTTTAGGAATATTATTTTATTGCATCCCTGCTCCTGATTTGGTTACTTAACTTGGGAAATACTTACTTTTAGTAGGGATAACTTTGTGTTTGCTTTCTTGTTTTTACTCCCCATGCTTTTTTCTTTACCCCATGTAATGGACTATAGGTGACAGTCGATTCTAGTTTTCAGCTGTAGCATCTGGTGCTTACCTGCCCATAGTAATTTTACTTGTCCATTGTAAGGTTACTCCCCTGTGGCAAGGACAGTAGAACTATAGCAAGACTAACACTCACATCTTAAGTGCCTCTGGAGTGTTAAGAAGAGTTTCACACAAATTATAATCAGGCCTTTTATTGCAAAGCCATATCGTGTGTTAAATGTTGTGTAGAATTAAACTGTTGGCATCTCTTGAAGCCAAAATCTTTGTCACCACTGATTCAGAACAAAGTAACACAGGAAACATTGAATAGTTATCCTCCACACGTGTGCCTGTATCTCTGTAGCTGTGGAGTCTCCTATAATGGACTTTTGACAGCTCTAAAAAGCTGTAACTTTTCTAGCAAAGAAAAAATTAATCTTCCCCTGAACAAGTAAGGTTTACTGCTTAAATTTTCTTGATATGGCATTACACCACAGAATTTAAGTGTCAGAAAGATATTCTTTATACACAGAGAAACCTTACTGAAGATAGTGCTTCAGTTCTTCTATAGAGTTCAATAATCACTTGTACAACTGAGGATGCGTCACCCTTCAGTTTAGATAGGATGTGTGTGCACTGTCAGTTCTTATAATATGTATGCTGATTTTTGTGTCTTAAACGTGAATTTTCTATTTGATGTTTATTTTTCAGTAGTATGTTCTTTCTTTGTAGAGTAAAAAAAAGAAGAAGACAGACTTTATACCATACAGGGATTCTGTACTAACATGGCTTCTTCGAGAAAATCTAGGTATGACTGCTCTGTCTGTGCCAATATGGAAAGAAATTCTCACTAAATATTCTGACTGCCTGTAACTGACTTAAATTTGTATCAAATATAAGGTTAAATATTTTTAGTAGTCAAATCTGAGTCATATAGTTCCACCAGTTGTTAAAGTTACAGCTCTTTCCTATGATTTTTGTATGTTCCTTAATAATGTAAAATATAATAGAATTCTATAATTTATTGAAAATACTGGTATTTAGTAGGTAATTAATGCGTAGATTTTGTGTTGTTTCATCTAAAATCTTGCCTGTTCATTGCAGGAGGTAACTCCAGAACTGCAATGGTTGCTGCTTTGAGTCCGGCAGACATAAACTACGATGAAACTTTGAGCACTTTAAGGTACTTTCTTTTATATGAGATGGATACGGATAACTGTTATCTCTAATTGCCACATCCTATCCTTCAAACCTTTGAGGAAATCTGTGGGGAAGAAGACTCTATACTGGCAAGAACTCAATTACCCAATATGTTGTGTGTGAATAGGGAGCTAGGAATTTATTGCCTCCTCTTAACTTGAAAAACCAAACTCACCTTCTGGTGTTCATAAGTTCTTTTCCAGTATGGTCCTTAAAATTGAGCATCTTGGTCAAGTTGAGGCTTCAAAGCACTGGAAAACGAAGAAATCACATTATTTGTTGTACATATGACGTACCTTGTTAATCCACCTTGAATAGGACTTGTCTTTTATGCAGCAATGCCCTGTATTAAGTAAGAATTCAAAAGCATGAGTGAATATAATCTATAGGATTCTTTTTTGACACATAGCTGCAGGCTAAGTGTCTCCTATATTGCTGCATTCCTATGTTGCAGATAAGCACTTATATGTTCATTATAAAGTGTTTTTTTTGTTGGTCTGCTTCAAGGTATGCTGATCGTGCAAAACAGATCAAATGCAATGCTGTTATCAATGAAGATCCCAATGCCAAGCTGGTGCGTGAGCTGAAGGAGGAAGTGACAAGGCTTAAGGATCTCCTGCGTGCCCAAGGACTGGGAGATATTATTGACAGTAAGTGGATTAAACAGACCTTACCATCTTGAGGTTGGTCTCTTTTACAGAGGAGGGAGAGCTGGGCCTGAGAGAAAGGTATTTTAAACATGGAAGTTAAATGTACCTGCTGATATTACATTTTAAGCATAGTTTTAGAAATGGTAGCCTCTTCAGTCTTTAAACAGCCCATCCTAGTCTGTAAACTTGACAGGCCACCTTCAAGCTATCAAGGAAAAGCATGGAGATTGAGTTTCCTATTACTGTAGAAGTCATTTTTCGTAATAGAACTTATACATTTGAGAATTGCCCTGGTGAGTTTTGGAGGACTTTTTGTCTGGCTACTGATAAAAGGAGAATATTTGAGTTATAAAAACTTGCTTTCTTTCTTAGTATGAAATTATCTTTTCGTTGTTCCTAAAGAGTTAAGGTTATTAGTTGATACCTGGCTTCAATGCCATCCTTGCTCAGAAAAGGAAATGGTGGCTGATTCCTGTTAGATGATGCCCTGAGTGACAAACCATTTGTCATCTCAAGATAACTAGCTATGAAACAGCTGCTTGTGAATAAATAAGGAACTCTTTTGGGGTGAGATTTTGAGTTAGGTTGGCAGAGCAGTATTGTGCTGATTTGGTTTGCTAGCAACTACTTAAAACACCAGGACAAACTTGTGCCTGAAATATTTCCTTGTCTTCATTCAAAAAAAAGCAAATAAACTAAAATTTTAGTTGCTACAGTGTTTTGTAATATGGACAGTGATTTAATTCCTAGTGAAGGAGATGCCTGTAAAAATACAAAATATATTCCAGTGGATTAAAAGATTCTTTGACTTTAAAATTAAAAAAAGGCAAATGTTGGACCAGTTTCTGATTTGTCAGAGCTTATTTGCCTGTGAAGCAGAAGTCCTGACTTAGTCACAGACTGCTTAAAGATGTGTAGCATATATTTTTATTTGCTTGTTTTCAAGAGAATGGGGCCAGAAGGCAATGAAATGCAGGTGTTCGTGCCTGGTACAGTCTGTGGTTTTTGGTTCTAAATCAAAACTGAAAAAACTGTATGTTACTGAAAACTGTGTTTTGTTCCTTTAAACATCAAGTAGTATTCTCTTCCCATCCTATGTCACTGGTGAACCTTCAATTTTGATCCTTCTTGTGTTTTCCCTCCTTGCTTCCTTTCAGTTGATCCAATGGGAGATGAATACTCTGGAAGTGGAGGCAAATGTGTGTATTGTGGGATTCTCTTTTTAACCTGCTTTCTCTGGGTCAGCTTTTAACTGAGCTTTGCATGCCAGCATTTCTCACAGGGAAATCCCAGACAGAACACTCACTGTGCAGTGCAATGCAGTTTCATGGAAACTAGCTTCACCAGCATTTCTTAGATTGAGTTGACAGTCAGAAAAAGTGCAAAGTTTAAATACAACATACCTTCATTGCTTGTTTTCTGGCAGAATATAGAAGGAAGAATGGTAATTCTTTAGCCTGTTTACATGACAGCCAACAGTTTAGATTCAAACTAGAAAAATCTTTTTCTTAAGTTACTCAGTTGAAGCAGCTTCTGGTCACCTAGCTTTCTGGCCTTTTAACATTTCTTTTCCACTTAGAAGTATTTGTTTTAGATGTGTCAATTAACTCAAGATGAAATGTTATCAGTTCCTCCTGAAGACAGTTTTTTTTTTAATTTTATTTTTCCTTTAAAGAGACTATACAAAATAAATCAAAGTTGGACTCCTTATACTGATGAAGGTCTCATACTGGAGCTCGAATGATTGCAGATGCTTAACTTAATAGGATTAAAACAGTCAGCAAACAGTATTTTATTTCCGTTTGCTTCTATGAAACGGAAATATATGTAGTCCATTGCAAGAGAAATGTATTGGATGTAAATTTGGGGTCTGTAGACTTTTTAACCTCTTTCAGTCAGTCGTCTTCACCCTCACGCAAACATATCAGCTGGAAAAGATCTGTCTGAAATTTCCTAAAATTAAAGCTACTGGTGGTGTAAAGACTCATCCTGGCCTTGTCTTAACATTCTGATGCTGCTTACAGCATGCGAGTATGGCATCCGCTTGAAAGCTGCAGCCTCCAGGGGAAGCATGCATGATGTTGAGGGTTTTGGTTCTCTGCGGTCACAGCAACTGAAAGCTACTGCAAGTGCCAGTTTCTTTGTCTTCAGGAGTGCATGCATCTGTTGGCCTTTCGAGAGTTCATCCTCCCTGCTCTGTCATGCCTGCTTTCCTCATCCTGACAGCATTCCCTTTCCTTAACCTGCTTTTCTTCTCTTCAACTTCCACCCCTGCTTCCTGTATTTGCAGATGGTGGTTTTCAAACTGACTTGATCAGTCCCAGCAGGTTGAATGTGGAGCGAACTAGGGCACAAGGCTGACAATAGCAGAATTGTTCAGGGTAGGAGTAGAGGAGATGTAGGAGGACGTGGAAATTTTTATGCCATGTCTGAGTGAGCATCTCAGTTTTGTACGTGTGAAGGCCTTGTTTATAACTTGTGAGGTCTGATTTGACCTGTTTCTTTCCTAAGGATACTTAATTTAAAGGATTTGTATTTGAAATAGAATTTAAAAGTATCAAAATTATTCGAACTGAGCTATTCAATTTTCTAATATTTCAATGTTAGAGAGGGGTTTTTTTTTGGTGTGTAATTACTCTGAGGATATGGTTTACAGACATATCTGAAAAGCTAAGTTAGATTACAATTAGCTAGCTTAAAATAAATTGCCTTTGGATATCTGTTCTTAAATAATTTGTGCACTTTTTCCTTGTTTTCTGTCTGTCAAGGAGGCATCTTTCAAGCCTCCAGGTTTTCAGGCTATACGAGCTGCCTTATTACATTTTGAGGGATTTTTTTAAGGCCTTCCTCATCTAAACTAAGACCAAAAAGCTTTAAAGCACCTTCTGAAGTATGAGAGCCTTATCAGATATTTCACTGAACAGGTAGCTTAGATTTCTATTTTTCAGATTAGGAGGCTCAAGAGGAAACACGATGATGTTACTGTGAACTTGTGTTCTCCCTGTCATGAGCTGACAGGTGATTTAAATACTCTCCTGTGTGAATTTAAGGAGGGGTAGTTCCTGCTCCTTGTGGTCTGGGTGGCTCAGCAGCAGAACCACTGCTGTGATAAAGATGTGCTTAATCATCATTTTAGATGATTTTATGAACCAGTCCTTACTAATAATCCTTAGGGTCTGAACTGAGTATGTCACGGATACTAATATTAAAAGACTTGTTTCAGAACTGCCATCTAAAAATTACAAAACTTGTCTTGTTGCTGCTTAAATGCTTTCCTCTTACACTGGTATTTCCTTCCTTTCCTTTTTCCTGTCCCTTCCCTCCTCCTATTTTCCTTTTCCCCATCTTTCTGCCTTCCCTCTGTCTGTGTGTCTCTCCCAGATCTGAAAGATTTTCAGAACAATAAACATAGATACTTGCTAGCCTCCGAGAATCAACGTCCTGGCAATTTTTCCACAGCCTCCATGGGGTCCCTCACTGCATCTCCATCCTCCTGCTCTCTCAGTAGTCAGGTGGGCTTAACATCTGTGTCCAGTATACAGGAAAGAATCATGTCAACACCTGGAGGAGAAGAAGCGATTGAACGTTTGAAGGTAGGGATTGCAGTAGATTTAAGGAGACTTATTTTGTTTTTTTTTCAAAATTAAATAGCAGTGAACCAGTGAGAACTTTAAGCAAATATATCCAGTATCCTACTGTTTCTGTAGGAAGTTGTCTGAAACCCACTTGTACCTTCAAAAAGGGCATTTAAATGTGGTGGGCTAGAAACTGGGTTCATGCACAACCTTTCCTGTTAGGATTATTTAGGTTTAATTGCAGCCTGGAGCTACAACTAAATTATAAATGGAAATCTTGATTCTTGTTTACATGTCCTCTGATAAAGCAGTAATCATGGAAAATTTGATCATAAGTATTGGCTTCAGGAGGCCTGGTCAGCACTAGTGTGGACAAAGTCTGACTAGCAAATGCACTCGGCTTTTAAAAAACCAAATTACCCCAAAGTTGAAAAAAGGAGGAAGAATAATCCTGCCACTGTTGTATTCGCCCAGCCCCCACAGATTAAAATGTGAAGCACACAGAATAGCATGCTTTATCCAGACAATAGCAGCCTTGTCCCAATTCTGCATAGAACTGAGCCGCATCAGAAGTGCATTACAGTGAAGTATTTCTTAATTTTTTTATGAAAGCTCCCCCAATCTCCATGGGTGGATGAGTGGGGGGAGCTGGCTGTGTTGAATCTATGCTTCATTCTCATGTCTCGTCCATGAGATCCTGCCATGGGGATTGGAATGGGCTGGAACACACACTGCATATCCCTTTGTTGTTAGAAACCCGCTGTTGCCATGGAAACCACAGTGTGGCCTCTGCAGTTCCTTGGCATCCAGTTACTGAGTAGTGTCTGTAAGTCAGATCTGAAAAAGTAAAAGAAAAAAGGAATAAAATAAATGAAGTAGCTCAAATTAAAGTCTGATTTTGGTTAGATAAAAAGTTGTCTTCTCAGCTTGCCTTCAAGGCTATTTACCATTTTAAAAATTAAGGAAGACAATTCAGAGTTTTGAAGTGCTGAGAGTACTTCTTATATCCAGAATTAATTTGAGGTCTAGAACTGAGCACAGACTTTAATTGCTTTGTGTATTATGTGAAGAACTTTGGGAAGAATTGTTAAACAGCTTCTGGGATTTTCACACAGGAATCTGAGAAGATCATTGCAGAGCTGAATGAAACCTGGGAAGAGAAGCTGAGAAAAACTGAGGCCATTAGGATGGAAAGGTCAGGAATCGGAAGTGCTGTACATGTGGATGGTCTGTTGAAAACAGAGAAGTGTGGAAAATGGAGAATGTTACTCTGTTCAAAAGCAATGGAACAGCAGAAAATTGCTTATTGATAATTCTGCTGACCTTTGTGTTTTAGATAACAGTAGAGGCAATGCTGAGAGAAAGCCATATTCTTTCCTATATTTCCACAGTTACTGTTTAGAGCTGTAATTCAGGTAACATCATATGCTGCTACATCAGCTTCTGTTGTGAAGCAGCGTGAAGTCCTGGTCTTCTTCTTACCCCTTCCACCATTCTCTTGCATTGCAAAAATTCTGGCCCTGAAGTTAAGCAGAAAAAATTAAGGTTTTTTTGTACTTCTCATATGTAAAGTAATGAAACAGCTCCAGCTTTCCTACTTTGGTTTGAATTGTGTCTTAGAGCAACAATTCAGATGTTTAATAATTGTCAAAAAGTTGGTGCAACGATACAGAGCATTATTTATTAGAATATTAAAAGCTTACAGAATACATATGGGGAACTTCTTTGCCTGGAAACAATGTGACTGAGCAGTCCCTAGAACCCTGAAGTATTTGAAGAAGTTGGATAGCGATTGATTATTCACTGACAGAGCTAAGGGACTTTAAGGCTTACAGGTGATTTGAAACAAATGGGAAGTTCCCACAATACATAAGTAAGCCGGGGAGGTCTTTACTGCATGATGTTAATGACGCTAGGAGTGGAATTTAAAAAGGAAAAAAAAGACAGAACCTCAAAAAGCAACAACAAAAGCATTTGGATAGCTGTTTAAAAGAAGTACCACCATTAATTCTGGAAACTCCTTAGGAAGAAGTCAGGAGACTGAGTGAATACTTGGGCAAAATATTGCAGTGTTTGCCATGTTCCTATTCTTCTGTGTTGACATCGCTGTTGTACTTTGTCAAAGCCAACAATACTGTGTTACGTGAACAGTTTGGCCCAATACGATCCTTTTTATGTCTTAAGGAAAGAGTACTTTCTATATTGGATCAGGAAGAGCCAGTTAAGTCTTGGTAAATTAATGGATAGTGGCAACTCCTTTCTTGTCAATTAAATATTTAAATTTAGAACAGACTTTAACCTTCCTTAAAGAAGTAGTGAATGTAATGTCCTGAAATGTACTTATCTTGTGATACGTTATTGCGCTAACTGCAGTTAAGTCTCTGCAAAATTTTTGTTGGTGCCATTCTGCAGGCCTATAAACTCTGACTAAATTTTAGTAACTTGCCCTGTTCTGTTGGCGATGACAGTCCTGGCTGTATGATCAGTGGATAGGCTGGTTGTATTTAATTACATGGCTTTCATTAGACCTTATTTTGTCTGAGAAGCCTAAAGTATGGTAAATATCTTGATTTTTCTTTTTCAGGGAGGCATTGTTGGCAGAAATGGGAGTTGCCATTCGGGAAGATGGAGGAACACTGGGAGTCTTCTCACCTAAAAAGGTACAGAAAATCGGTAACTGTTGCTTCATGGCTCCAAAAGGGTGATCAGTCTGGGAGGGGAGGGTGATGAGAGAGCTACCATTTGTGCAAGGTATTCACTTGTATTCCTGTAAGATTCAGAAGAACATAAGTGAGGTTTGGACCCTTAGTTGAAAGCTGTTTTTACGATACCTCTGTTTGAAATAGCTGTAATGTTAAAATCTATCAAAACCCTCTACATCTAGGGATTATTTTACCCATAAGAATGAAGTTGGATGCTGTTCCTCATGCAAGTGATGCAGCGTGGTACTTAGTGGTTTTAGGGAGCTGTGGAAAGATCTATGGTAGCTTTTGTTGATCGTTAAAGTAGGGAAGTGTGCGCTAGCCTCATACAATGATGAAGTAGGAGCAGGGTGAAAAATTAATGATGAGACTTCTGATATCAAATAATGGTTGAACTTTTTTGTAGCTTCCTTTAGAAAAATCTGTGCTGCAAGGAGAAATGTTTGCAGTTTCTTGCGTATCTGTTGATTTGGTAGCAACTCAGAAATGCTGCCTCTTAAATTGTTGTTGCCATTTTCTGCAGTAGTTGTGTGTGACATTAATGTACTCTACCTATTCTTCTTTGAGATACCCAGAAAAGTTTTTAAGTCTTGTTTTTAGGTGTTCTTCCTTGAATTTGTTTGTTAGTCTTTCTTCCTGTTGGAAAAAGGGATTGTAGTGTAACGAACGACTGAACATCAGGGATGCAGGGGAATATTTCTTTCAATATGTGTCAGTAGTTCTGTTTTCTGAAATATGAAAGAAGCAGAACTGTGCAGAAAAAGGGCATAAATCATTGCTATAAATATAAAACGATCAAGTTAATGAAGAAGCTGTCCATGCAGTTAAAGCAGAATTATTGAAGAAGTACAAGGACGAGAACATACTTCCTTATGTCTCAAAAATCTTTAATCAAGGAGCAGAGGATAATATTCTGAAACTTGCATGTGCCAAGTGTGAAACAAACTTGATCTAAGGTTAAACGGGCGCCTGTCTAGAGGCATCATACAGAAATGTACAACAGCAGTACTGGCTACTTTAAGTGCAGGATTGAACATTTTAGTGTTAAATCCATATGTCTGCAGTAGATAGAACTCTGGTTTGCTTTTCCTATCTACTCCAGAAGTGCTTGAGGTTTGTAAAGACGCTGATTCGTTGAGTGTTCTTTACATTTCTTTCTTTTATGTTACGGATCCTCATCTCCTTTTAGATTTTCCCTCAGAGGCCCTCAACCCTTTTTGATGACTCTTTTGGTGCATTTTCAGCTGATCAGGTTTGTGTATAAATGCCATATGGCAGAAGTAGTTGCGTTGGTAATAGACAGTATTTCTTTTACCCATCTAGAATTGATTAGGAGAAGTAAAACTCCTGACCTAGTCCTGTCTGCTTCTGTTCCTTGCTATCCTTGCACCTCAGTTTCATTAGTTCTCCTTCTAGTAACTGTGGCTGCTGTTGTGAATATTTTGGAGATGTAGATAGCAAATTTGAAGTTTTTTTAATAAAGACTTTACACTTCTGAGGTACCAGTATAAATCTAATCATATGCTACTAGGACAGCACTGTTTTTTACCAGCTGAGATGTAAATTGAACTTTGAAAGGTAAATTTTGCCCACTTTGTGAATTAAAAGGTATCGCATCGTGCACATTGCTGTATCTACCGGTTGTGCCTTTGATGGCCGGAAACTTCTTGTAATGGGTGGTGGAATTTAACCATTTGTGCTGTTGTCAAGGACGGGAACAGGGAAAATCCTTCAGCTCATGCTTGAGGAATGCTGTACAGGAGAAGGTTGAAGATGTAGCTGTGTGGATGAACAATAGATCTCAGAATGACTGAATTGTCGCTTTTGCTAGCATCATCTTTCAAGTTATTGAGCTTTACTTTTTACAAAGCTCTCTGCCTGTGAAAGACCCATTCAGACTTTGATTTAACTTGGTAAATGAACTCCGATGCTAAAACATCTTTGTACAGGGTACAGCATTATCTTCAAAGTGTCCAAGTGGTACAAATCATAATGGTGTTATGACAGTTGACTATGCCTGGGATTTGGTTTCTCTCTCCATTTTAAAAGCTTTTTGCAGCTCTGAATGTTAATTTGCATGCAGTGAATAGTGATGACAGCATGGGACATCTTCAGCTGTGGTTTTAGGTGTCCCCTATATTTTTGGGGGTGAAAAAGGTGTCTTGTTTAGTCCCTCTTTCGATCTTTATAGTTAAGTCTTCTGTTGGGCAATTGACAATCAGGCTGCTTCGTTCAAATACAAATACCATTGTGAACGTTCAGTAACTTCTGAGGTTCTGTAAACTGAGTGCTGTCAATGTCTTTTTTGCAGCCTGAAAAAGTTGACAGAAGCGGTGTTCCCAAGGGATCTTAGCCAAATTTATTTCCTTTTGCTAAACTTATTTTATTTGAGGGTGACAAAGGGACAAGTGGCTTATTAACAGTTTGATTTTTTTTCTCTTTTGTCATAGAATCGTAGAATGGGTTGGGTTGGAGGGGGGGCCTTAAAAGTCATCTAATTCCAAAGCCCCTGCCATGGGCAGGGATACCTCCCACCAGCCCAGGCCGCTCAAAGCCCTGTCCAGCCTGGCCTTGAACACTTCCAGGGAGGGGACATCCACAACGTCCCAGGGCAACCTGTGCCACTGCCTCACCTCCCTCACAGTAAAGAATTTCTTCCTAATATCTAGTCTAAATCTACCTTCTTCAGTTTAAAACCATTGCCCCTTCTCCTATCACTGCATGCCCTTGTAAAAAGTTCCTTTCCAGCTTTTGTGTCTTCTTTCTTCTTTAATTGTGTTTAACCATTTTTGCCTTTTCTCTTGTGCTTGTGCTTACTGCTATCTCACTGGCTAGATTTTCACTCCAAGGCCTTGTGACTTGTTTGCTGATTCCAATGGGGTTTTTTCACCAAAGAAGGTTGGTTTAGTAACTGTAGTGGATTTAAATTTAGAAGAACTTTAGATGAAGAGTTTAGTTTTTTAGCTGTTTGTATCAGAGAATGTTGGTAGTTTTAGACTTTCTTTTGAAATAAACAGGCTTAGATGATTGCCTGACCTGTATTGCCGAAGAAAAGCCAAAGTTGATTCCACATCAGTTTCAATATTTTACTGAAGCAACCTTTTCTGTGGTTGGACTTCCCTTATAGAAGTTTACAGAGATTTTCCAAGGAATCTTTCTTTTTTAACAAGGATTTTTTTTTTTAAATCTGGATTAATATGCATCCTCCTCAGCTGTGGGAAGAAACTTGAAAGTAGATCCTCAGTTATTAATTAACTTTTCTTTTATTTCTTTCAGACTCCTCATCTTGTAAACCTTAATGAAGATCCACTCATGTCTGAATGTCTTCTTTACTACATCAAAGATGGCATTACCAGGTGAGGACTGGTGCTAATACTGTCTGAAGTCTGCATGTTTGCTTGCTTAAATCCCCATGCTGGAGACACTGTAAATAATAATTGTGCCTTGAGCTATTCAACTTGTAGGTACAAATGAAGCATGACATTACTGTAGGTGGAAAAAAGTACAGAAATGCATTTTCTTTTAAGTTGTTTTTTGCTTTAAAAGTAATGTATGCAGTCACTCTGCTTTGTAAGCAGCTCGTTACTACACCTGGGCAGTAAAAGAAAGCACATCTCTTTTAAGATACAGGAAAACAAAAGTAATAAAACTTATGGAAAATACCTTTGAAATTTTGATTATTGACAACCATAGTATTTGATGTAAGCAACTGGAATATGGATGAGTGTTCACTTTATTATTTAAATGAACTGCTATCCATGTATTCTGCATTCACATATATGAGATTAAATTTAATTACCAGATTTGGAATTTAAAACAGATTTTATTCCAGAACTTGCTGTTAAGACATCTGGAAGTAGAAGGGTGGGTTTTGTTTTCTTTGGAGCACTAAGGCATGTTTGACTGCTTAGTCTGTGTATTCCTGTGGAACAAATAGAGAAGAGTACACAAACAGGTGCTGGGGATTGGTACTACTCTAATATGCATTTGACCTAGTGAAAAGAATATTAAACTTGTAGAGAATTCAGCACAGAATGGTGAGAATAGCTTAGGACTTAAGAAATCACAAATTTTGAGTCTAGCTGGCTGACATCAGAAATGTGTGGAATAATAAGAGCAAGAAGTTTATTAAGATTAAGATTGAAAATTAAGTTGTCTGTATCTGGAGTTGCTCAAATATTTGAGTTTGGAATGGACATAGATCTTCATGCTTCAGGGATACAGCCAACCTCTTGCTCTCTGGAAGCTGGATGAAACTGTTTGTGGCATCAGATTATTCAATAGGAGTCTCCTGAGCCATTTTTGCTTCTTTGTTAAAGTGCAGATGGTGATGACTGGAAGAGGTGATCCCTGTATGCCAGCTGAAATGCACCACTGGAAGTTCCGGTGGCACGGTTTTTTTTTCCTGCATGTTTTTGCTAAAGGAAGCAGGGGCTACACAAGATGGAAAGAAACGCATTAAGTCCAGACGTGTTTAACATTTCAAGTCTCTCTTTAAATTACATGTTTTAAGAGAGAGAAAGCTTCTCTTTTGTTTTGTCAAGCTATTATCCTCCAATTCATGGTAAATCTGATAACTTCTCTGCAGTCCAGAGTTCAGCACTAGTTCAAACCTTTAAACTTGAAGGACAGTCTTAATAGTTCAGACACTTTTCCTGGATATTTTTGGTATGTGTTGTCCTACGCAGAGTTGTAGAAAGTGTCTGATTTGCTCTTGAAATGTCTTCTGTTGAACCCAGGGTTGGCCAAGCTGATGCTGAGCGAAGGCAAGACATTGTATTGAGTGGGGCTCATATCAAGGAAGAACACTGTATCTTTCGAAGTGAGAGGAACAACAACGGTGAAGGTAAAAAACTACTTCTCCTAGCAAAGTGTTAGTGAATCTTTTACTCACTTGATAGTTGGCCTGGTAATAGATGTGTTTGAAAGTCTCTCTTGTGTCAAGAAAACCATCAGCTTTGACTTGCTGTTTTTGTGAGTCTTGGAGGGGAAAAAAATTTTTATCAAATAAAATTTAAACAAAGTAATAGCTTCAGTGTAAGAGTTAAGTTCTGATCCTGATTAACTACAAACATGAAGATTCAAACAGAAAAAATAATAATAATTTCCAACTGCAATATGAAGATGTCAGTAGTATTGATTTTTCTTGTGGGGCTTTATTTCTCTTTTAACCAGCATGGTACCAAGGAGTGATTGACTTGTATCTTTTTTTCTTAAGTTAGTAGGAAGACAGGCAGAAAGTGAGATGCCTTTAGGGTTTGCACGCTTCTGTCTACATACAGTGCTCTCGGAAGTCTCATTTGTCTGTTTTCTTCATAGTTATTGTTACTCTGGAGCCTTGTGAGCGATCGGAAACCTACGTTAATGGCAAGAGGGTTGTACAGCCCGTGCAGTTGCGCTCAGGTAAGAGCTTTTAGAAGGGATATTTCTGTAGACTCTCCATCTAAGAATTGTCCATACGTGACATTTGCTAGGTGCTGCTGAGGGACAGCAGTGTTACCTTTTTGCAGTGTAGCTGTTAAACAGAAGTTGGTACCATTCTTGGCAGCAGTTCGTTTTCGTTCATTCTTTGCTGTGCTGGCTGTAAGTGTACTTAAATATTCACTGCCACGCAGCATCCTGCTTGTCCTTGTGCTTACCCTGATATTATTCAAATACATTCTTGCCCAAGCCCATTGCCCTTGGCAGTCTCAGTGAGACAGAGCAGACAGACTGCCAGTTGCTGATGGAAAATTCCCAGTTTCCTGGCAAAGCCAAGATATGACCCTCTGCAGGAATACAAGAACCTCTCTCTGCTCTCATTAGATTTCCCACGCAATCCCTTGCATTCCTTTAGAAAGGCACATGGGGGAAGAATTGGAAAGGAGGTAGCAACTTCCCTATATTTTGGGTTTAACCTGTGATGCTTTCTGTGTCCCTCCCCCGTTTTTCCACTGGTTAAAAAACCAAACCAAACAAAAAAACCAACCTCAAACCAAAATAGCACCAAATCAAAAAATATACCTCAGAATTATTTACATCAAGTTATAAGTGAGTATTTTCATGTAACCTAGTATACTGTCTCCAGCATGTCTGGACAGTGAAGGAAGAAGTTTTTGCTGTTCTGTGCCTGCATATGGATCATCTCAAATACCATAACTTAATCATTTAGAAATTGCATTATTTAAAAAAAAAAGTAGATCTTCTTCCTTTTCTTCTGCATCTAGATAACTTAGTTACTGGAATAATATCGACATGGTCTCTGACATCTTTAAGAGCCTGTGTTTTACTAATATATTGATAAAGACAATTTTGATTACTTTGGAGGTCTATTTACTAGAATGCCTTTTCAAAATTTTAACTACATTAATATGTTCTCTGGAAAAGCAGAGGTATTCTACTGTCTTCTGTCACACAAATGTCTCGGGCTTTGTGGCTGTCTGGTATCTCTAGGATTTAGCTGAAAGACTTAACAGTATTAAGTATTTTCAGCTCTTTTGACATTAGCATAAGAGTAGTTGTAAAAGCCTTCCATAAATCCCCATTTGTAATACATATAAATGGCATTTTAAAGAATACTAAGCATCATGCATTTCAGTATTCAAAGTTAAGCTTCAAAGTGGCTTTTGCCTATGTTTTGGTACAGTCACTGGAGGAGAGGAATGGGATTTAGTGATGTGTTTTATTTACTGCAACTGTTGGTCAATCTCCAAGTTTGTCCTTTAATTTAACTTCTGTAACTGTTTTCAGGAAATCGTATCATCATGGGTAAAAATCACGTCTTCAGATTCAACCATCCAGAGCAAGCACGGGCAGAAAGAGAGAAGACACCGTCAGCTGAGACTCCCTCGGAGCCAGTTGACTGGACATTTGCTCAGAGGGAGCTTCTGGAGAAGCAGGGCATTGACATGAAGCAGGAGATGGAGAAAAGGTAACAAAATAACTCCAAATTTCTACCTGAAACAAGGAGGAATCAGCTGTTAGGTTAGGCCTAGGTTCTGTAGCTGTTAGGCCTAGGTTCTGTAGCTGTTAGGCCTAGGTTCTGTAGCTGTTAGGCCTAGGTTCTGCCATATATCACCTCTGCTACCTATTGTGGAAGTTCAGAAAGATTCCTCATTATTTTACTTAAGAGTTTTGGTGTCCTAGCTCCTTGAAAAATCACAGCTAAGCACCTGCCATGCCCTATAGACCTTTTAGTGAAGGACTGAACTCCGCCTTATAGGAAGTTTCACTTTTATGGTTCTATAATAGACAACAGTACCTTTTAAGTGGAATGACTTTTGTCAGTGTAATTCAGTGTGCTGTGTGTGTAGAGTAACACCAACATGAAAATAATGACCTCTTTGGCTACTTCTGTTCTTTTGTTCATCTGCAGATTACAAGAGATGGAGATTTTGTATAAGAAAGAGAAGGAGGAAGCTGATCTCTTGTTGGAGCAGCAAAGGCTGGTATGTGTCCTTTCTTAAGATTAACTATACCTTTGGCAAACAGTAATTCCTGTCCTTGCTTATCTGAAAGTTTAGGAAACCTGCTTGGGTTGTCTGCACAATGCAGTTCTCCCTTTGCTTTCAAATACTTTGTGTCTACAGTGAATTACTATCAGTGTGGGTGAGCTCCTTCATGTTAATTCAGAGTTTGTAATTGACAATGAAGAGGCTTTAATCAGTTCCTGTTGGGAAAGGTTGGATTTTTTTTCTCAGCTTAACCAGAAAGAAGGGCATTTCAATGCTCTGCGATTTTTGAAGTTCCTTTCCAGTAGTCTAAACAGCTACTTCTTGAGGTGTTTGCCTTTATTTTTGTCTTGGATCACCAGAACATACTAATTTTGTGCTGCCAAAGAGATTCCTAGACCATTGATACACTAGGTTTATTTTTTATGAATGATGTCTGAAAATGTTGCTGCATTGTGCATGTTTTAACCCTTCTCCCTTCCCTGCATGGAGTTCCTTGTAAGGGTCTTAATGGTACACATGGCGATGGTGGGGTTATGCCTAGGGAGCAGTGTGTGAAGGGAATGTCCACTCATTCAGAGCAATGGGAATTCCACCATTACACCTGTTTCTTAAATAGAAAGCCTGATAAATTAAGTCTGATACAGACTTAATACAAATAGAAATGCACCATTTGCAGTCTTCAAGCACCCTGTGAATTTTAAAAGCAAGGCAAAGCCCAGGAATGTTACCTGGATTTCCTTATGAAACCTGAGTCTCCTGATTCTGCTTTAGCTGCATTGGGTTGTCTTTTAGGCAGAATGCAAATGTAGCTGTGCCTGAATTCTAGTAAGAATTTCAAAATTCGTTTGTTTGTAGTACTAGTTTGAGACCACTGAAAACTGTGGGTTAAATGCATGCTGGATTCTAAATTGTAAAGCTCTTCCCCTTCTCCCAGAAGCAGAATGGAACAAAGTACGGTGGCTTACATAGGTAGAAGCTACATCACTTTTCACATTTACGTTATACGCTTAAAGACTCTTTGATCTCTAATTATTTCATCACTAGGGACTAATTTCTTGGATGGAGAGGAGTGGCTGCAGACTTTGAACCAAAGCAAAACTTAGTTCAGAAAAGCAGTTAAGATATGACTAACGTAATGTTTCATCTGCAATTTTATAGTTAAACTTTGTGTAGCTGAAAGTAGTATGGCAAAAATCAGTTCAATGTGAAAAGAAAAATAGTCTTAGTATTGAATAAGTTTTGGCTCTGTGTCAAAGGAGATGCAAGTAATGGAATTCCCTCCCTTAAATTTTAGCTGACAGGCATAAGGTCAGCTATCATATGAATTAAAGATGCGAGAATTGGCTGGCTGGGGAGCTATTTAAAATAAGGCTGCATGTATAAGTGTTGTAAAGGGAATTTGCCTGTATACATAAGATTAAGGGAAGGATCTTTAGGTACTGGGTTGTTTAATAGTGTAACAAAGTTGCTGATTTCTTTAAGCTTGTTTTGGTTTTGCTGATGTCAATTAGTGGACAAAGATGGAAGACTGTCCTGTGTGCATTACCCATGTAGTTGCTGCAGGACACCCTTCCTAGTTGTGAGGGGTTGTACCAGATGAGGTCATTGGTCTGTGAAGCAGTATCCTGCTTATTGCAGTGCTTAATAAGAATATTTCAGGTGACAGAAAAACTTCTTGACACATCTCGTCATTTCTGTGCCACCGTATGCAGAGTCTGGAATGGACAGGATGAATGCATTCATACAGCAGTAATTGAATAATGATTGGGAAATCTGGGAATGCATTTCAGCTTGCGTACCTTTAAAGTATTTACATTGCTGCAATATCCAGCTGCAAAATCAGGTTCTCTATTTTACTGCTCTGTAAGATTTGTATTGAAATATAAATATTCCTGTTCTAAATTACAGTATAATCTTGGATATACGAAGCTGGTTAATCCTGTTTTCCAGATTTCTTTGATTTTATGCTGAGATTCCAACCAAGTTGGTATTTATTTGTTAGATGTGCTGTACAAAAAAGATAAATAGTAGCTCTTGTCCCCCGAGATCTGCAATTAATATATGTTTGCCTTGTTACTATTACTAAGGAATAGAAATAATCATTCTCAGTTTTGCAAATTGAATATGAAAATTTGTTAAGTAGAGCTAAAATTATCTTCCTGGTTTTCTTGGTCATAATGCCTTAGCAGTGACCACTTGACATTAGAATGTGGGTATGTATTAATTGGTCTGGTTAACCGCTGGGTGCACACAGGGCAATGACCATGTAGTGGCTCTTAATCAGCTTTTTGTACACAAGACATGGTTTACCCATAAGTAGTAATATGGTTATTTTGTAACCTATAAGAATCATCTTGCGGAACTTGGGACTTAATGTTTGAGTAGCTTGTGTCTAGCCTTTCTGGACGTAACCCTGAATGCACCAATTGTAGTGTCTTCCTCCAGGGTATCTCTTGTTTCCACTGCAATATGCATCTAACAGTTTGTTAGATGCTGTTTCCTTAGGCCACAAATTTTGTCAGCTGTAAACTCAGAAAGAGTTTGTTGTCTCTAGACCAGTGTTTGGCTTATATTTTAACTTAAACTAGGAGAAGTTGATTCTCTAGTGCTGTTCTTAAATATTTAAAAATACATAAGGTCACAAGAAGCTCAAATAATGAGACTCTTAGGCTATGGAGCTTGTTGACCATAGGGCAGAACAATATTTCTTTTACTCCCTTTCATTATTCCCAAAACAAATTATGTTGTATCCCTCATTCTTCATGGTCTTCTACCCGAAGTCTTAAGTCTAGGAACCTGTGGTTTGGAGGTAACAACCTGGGTTTCCTTTGGTTTTGGAATTACTGGCTGTCACTGTTCCTGATTTCTCATGTGTTAAAATTCTCTATGTGAAAAACAGGGACGTGAGGTAGAGGTTCATTGGAGATCAACTCCTGTGTTTTAATGAAGAAGTTTGGATCGCAATAATACCTAGGATATCTTATTTGTTCAAGAGATGCCTTAAATTAATAATCCTTTAAAGAAAAGTAGTCTGACTTTAATTCCTGGTTGCAGTGAGCAATAATGGATATCCTCAACTTCTGGTGGCAGTATACCTGAACAAACATTCCTAGCATATGGAAACCTGAAGCACTGCTCATTAAAAATCATTTAGCAAAAGGTGGAAAACTTGTAATGAAGAAGCAAAATATGCATAACTCTTAGCAAGTATGTGGAAGCTCTAGGGTTTGAGAAGAGGACAAATGAAGGATATCAAATAGTGAATTTGTTTAAAAACAATTAAAAAACCAGTCATTGCTGCTTCATTCTTCTGAAACTCATTCTTCGGCCAGACAAGACTGTTAATGGTTTTTTTGTTTAAACTAAGCAACATGGTGACAAATGGGGAAAAACAAACCCAAACCACCACCCACCTCTGAAACTCTGATTCTGGATATCCTTTTAGCTTGTAGCAAGTCTTGGAGTATGAACCACTGTCTTCACCTGTCATAGTGGCACTTACAGCCCTTTTAACATTGAACCTTTCGGCTGCTTCTGTTTCATTTTTCTTATCGTCTAACACTTCTCTGGCTGCTATTGTAGTGAAGTGGATTCTAAACTTGAGCATCCCTGCAACCACGTGCAACGTTACTAACCAGTGTTAACCCGACTTACTCTGGCTGCTCATGACCTCTTCTATGATGGCTGTTGTGTTCACCTACCTGGGGAGGATTTGCTGAAAGAAGCAACAGCAGTCACCAAGGCAAATGTGTGTGGCGGGGATTTGCATGTCTTTGTAGCATGTGTGAAGTGCAGTTTACACTTGGTTTTTTTTATTTTTTTTTTTAATCAGGAACTTGGTTTCAGTTGTTCTGTTTAAAGATTTTTGGAAGGGGAGGGAAGAAGTTAGATAATCTGCTATTTTGAGATGACAGGACTTTTAAATATAATGTTAATCTTAATTTAGTGAAGAGCTCCAATTTTGACAATCCGTGACTCTCAAAGAGACAGCGTAATGTCCTAACACTCAGTCTTCAGGGACTTCCTTATCACTTGTTCTATTTTGATTTTTTGATTTATTTTTCTTTGCCTGCTACTTCTTATTTAGCTTTTCCGTTTTCTTACAATTTTAATTTTCGTTATTTTGGGGCCACTTCTTGATTTTTGTTTTTCCAAAGGATGCAGACTCTGATAGTGGGGATGATTCGGACAAGAGATCGTGTGAGGAGAGTTGGAGACTGATCACTTCCCTGAGAGAGAAGCTGCCCCCCAGCAAGCTCCAAACCATTGTAAAAAAGTGTGGCCTCCCCAGCAGTGGGAAGAAACGAGAGCCTATTAAAATGTACCAGATACCCCAACGCCGACGCCTTAGCAAAGACTCCAAATGGGTTACCATCTCAGACTTAAAGATTCAGGCCGTGAAAGAGATATGCTATGAGGTAGCGCTCAATGACTTCAGGCACACTAGGCAGGAGATTGAGGCTTTGGCCATTGTTAAAATGAAAGAGCTTTGTGCCATGTATGGGAAAAAGGATCCAAATGAGCGTGAATCGTGGCGAGCTGTGGCTCGGGATGTCTGGGATACGGTGGGAGTTGGAGATGAGAAAATTGAAGATGTTATGGCCAATGGTAAAGGGATAACTGATGTGGATGACCTTAAGGTGCATATAGACAAGTTGGAAGATATTCTACAAGAAGTAAAGAAGCAGAACAACATGAAGGATGAAGAGATAAAAGTTCTCAGAAATAAGATGCTAAAAATGGAGAAGGTTTTACCTCTTATAGGATCTCCAGAGAAAGCTCAGTCAACCGTTGCTAATGCTAAGTCTCCAAACTCTGCCAGTGTGGTGGATGTGGACAAGAAGCCCACGGATGACTTAAAAAGAAGTGAGAATGATGAACTCGCTAAAGAGGAGCGTGTTTCTCAGTTAATGGCAGGTGATCCGGCTTTCAGACGTGGGCGACTACGTTGGATGAGGCAAGAGCAGATTAGATTTAAAAATCTGCAGCAGCAGGAAATAGCAAAACAGCTTCGCCGCCAAAACATGCCTCACCGATTCATTCCGCCTGAAAATCGCAAGCCCCGGTTTCCTTTCAAAAGCAATCCCAAACACAGGAACTCGTGGAGCCCAGGCACCCATATAATTATCACTGAGGATGAAGTTATTGAGGTCAGAATTCCAAAAGAAGAGGAAAAGAGCAAAGATGAAAACAAAGAAAAAGAGAGTAAAGCTGCTTCTAAAGACCCGCAGCAGCTGTGGAATCTGTATGGCCCTCAGAGGAATCAAGATAATATCCAAATTAACAGGCAGCAGCTAAACGCACCGCCACAGCCTAGCAATCAGCAGCAGCCATCGCCTCAGTTGCGCTGGAGAAGCAATTCTCTCAATAACGGCTCTCAGAAAAGCTTGCGGCGCCAGACATCGGGCTCATCCGAATCGCTGCACTCGTACAGCGGGCAGCAGAACCCAGACCTGCAGACTTTCCAGCAAAAACGCCACATCCACCAGCACCGCCAGCCGTACTGCAATCACAGCAACGGGGGCGGTGCAGAAGGCAATGCGGCCAATCTGCACCCCAAACAGACTGACCGGCCTAACCACTATAACCAGTTTGTGACGCCCCCACGGATGAGGCGCCAGTTCTCAGCACCTAACCTCAAAGCGGGCAGAGAAACCACAGTATGATTAGTTGGGCCAGAGTAGTCTGGGGGAGGAGGGAAACGGGGGCAATTCTGGCTCGTCATTAAGAAACAGCCAGGATTGGCTTTGCTTATGTCTTGGATTTTGTTTGGCCAGGTAGAGCTTGAGTAATTCGACATAAAAGCGCGAGGTACTGGCCCTGCAGCCCATTCAGTTTGCATGTGACTCTTGTTGCAGTGTTAACAACTTTGATTGGAAGAACATTCGGAAGAATTGTAAAAACTTTTGTTATAGACTAGAAGACGTGGAGGGAGGGAGGGAGGTGGAGGGGAGAACTTCCCTGCTAGCTCATTTACCAGGGTGTTTCTGTGTGTCTTGGAGTATTTTTCTAATGCTGAAAATATTGTCTGGAACTCACAAAGTGCTACCTTCCTCCTGTGTTTTATGTAGACAATCAAAAGAGGAATTTAGTTTATAGCATTGAATGTTTCTTGTGACCTTTTTCTTAGCAATAAGGACACTGACCATCTATTTTTAAATGGATCTGGCTCTTCAGAACAGTATTTTCCATTCCTAACTGAAATTCTTAATAATAATAATCTATAAACCAAAAGTTGTTGGCTGACAAGATATGTGGCTTTTTTATCACAGAGAAGTTAAGAAGAGCTATTGGGTCACATCAGACCTACTCGCTGAGTAGGAGATGTTTTTTCTTCCGCTTAAGTTCACAATTATTGGTATGAAATTGCTGGGACAGTTAAACCTGCCTGAATGGAATTTTATGTCAGAATATATATATATTGATGAAGCAATACGTTGGAAATAAGCTTTTTCTAATTCCCATTGTATCTCTAAATATAATAGTTTTTAAGTAGTATACAGAGATTGTGGAATGGAACGAGGGTTTTTTGACACTTTGGTGCAGGAAGAAGCCTCAAAAAGCTAAATCATTTTATTTTATGTTTTCAGCATTCTCGGGCATCAGCCTGAGAGATGCTCTTGAAATAGTTACTCTCATGAAGAGTTATAGATCACTACTTTGAATTGACTGAATCCTTCTCAAAGATAGGAGAATTGAACTGTTTCATCTTAATGATACCTCATGTTAGTGCCTCTGGTCTTGAATTAAACCCCTGTTTCAAGACTTGTTTAATAAAGGAGAAGGGTCACTTTGAGGAGAAAAATGAGGTTAATTTTTCTTCTCCCCACACTCAAAATGCAAATGGATTTTTTTAATAGCTATTTTGATCTGAAGAGGTCTATACTTGCAGGTGATTCGCCATAAAACAAATGCTTGCAATCTCTACTTGAGATTGTTTTAAACAAACTACAGAAAAAAACTATTAATTGAGGAATAGGCTTTATGAGCTTGGGGTTTTATCTCAGTTGGAGAGTCCCAGTTTTGATTATACACGTTCTTCTTTCTGAGTCTCTTAAGGTGCGAAACAAAATTGTGCCTTCCAAAAGTCTGTGGACTTAAGTATAAGCCAATCTAAGCTTTGAGGACTTTGCTTTTAAATTTAACTTGAATGCAATTTTAAAATGGGCTACTGTACTGCATTTGGTAATACAGGTCCACTTTGCAGTGCATCTGTACAGTTAAACGATTTGTGCTGTTTTGCACAAGTCTTTAATTTACTTGAGGTTGCTTATTTTTTGATGAAACGTAGGCCCTACTGGTAACTGTTACTTCTGCGTGTTTCAGCATAGCTGTAGACGAGTAGGACGTGCCCTCAAGCTTACTTTCCATCTTATTTTTGTTTCCTGTCCTACTTTCCCCCCACTCAACTGTGCATGGTGTAGGTTGCAACACATGGTAAGTGGCAGCCATGCACCATTTACAGATTGGTTATTGATTGTCAACTCTGAAGTCTCTGCACATGTGTATCTGAAAGGAAACTGGCCCTCTGATATAGGAGATAAAAAGTCAAGCCTCTCCCTCTCCTGAAAGACTCAGCTGGTCACATCACTTGGGACACTTTATTTTTCTTATGGCAGGTTTAATTTTGTGTCCAAATATGGCTTTGTAACTTGCATTTGTCTCATGCTTTGGCCTACTTGAATGAAGGAAATAAAGCACCATGTCCAAAAGTGTCTTGATTCTTGAAGAAATGAAGCCTTGTAGATTAGCAATACTTTTCTTTGAGCTTGAGTTGGAATTGCAAAATGAGTTTTGGGCTGCAAATAAGATTTTGCTGTTGCCTTTACTTTAGAATCCTGTTTTAGTAGTGCATTGCACTTTGTTTTTGCGCATGTTAAGAGTAATGAGTTCTTTCATATCTTCAAAAAGGCTTGGGCTCTCTTAAAAATGCATTCTCTGCAAAATCCTCTCAATTCTATAAGAATACGTGAGCCAAACAGAGTCAGTCTGCATGGGATAGGTTGTGAGGAAAAAAACCAAACCAATTTCATCTTCTGTCCCATTTTTGTTGAGGATTCTGGCTGCCTATGGCAAATCACTACATGATTATGCATAGAGTAATTTTGAAGTCCATGCAACTCACATGAGATTGTATTGACGTGAAATTAAAAACTCCTGCTACTTGTTATTTTAATGCTAGACACTGAAGTTTTTACCACCTTCTTTCAGCGTAAAGTACTGAGAAGAAATATCTGTAAATGCCTGGGTGGTGGTGATGATGAGCAATAGATTGCCATGAGACTCCTACCTCACTGTTTCAGTGCAGCAGTAGGAAAACAACCCTGCTTATTCTGATTTATGATTTGAGATAAAAAAACGAAGGATAGTCAGTGTCAGAGGAAGCAGCTTTTTTCTTTGCTTTTAGGAGGATGTTACAGAGATGAAACTTGGAGGAAAAAAGTCCTATAAAAATAATAGACCGCTTTAAGAATTGAGCATTAATTACAGTGCAGTGCCTCGTCTGATAAGGGAAGCGGTGTGAGAACTTGTGGATCTCCTTGCACTATTCAGAAATACGCACATCTCTCACTCCAAATTCTGTATTCATGGAGCTAATGAACAGTAATACAGCTGCTTCCGTAAAAGACTGTGTGAAAAGGCTTTCAGGTTCATGGAAATGTGGCATCCTTGACAGGAGTGCTGTTTTAGTAAGCTTGATGATCAGCAAAGTGCTGATGTGCTGTGTGCCTTGACAGCTGACTTGTATCCACCTGTGCCTTAGTGATCACTTCTTAAATTTCCTTTAGGACTCACTAGGGACGTGTGCATTTGGGGTTGAGGGGAAATGTATGCCACTATTGCTCCTCTGATTGACTTCAACATCCTTTCCCCAGCAATCCGAATGCAGGGATCTGTCAAATTAGAGGATGTTATTTTTATCAGTACATTCAGCATAGTTTCAATATCTCTCTCACTGTTTGTCCTTTATTCTTTATATGTTGAAATGTGTTCTTTATCCTTTATATGTTGAAATTTGACTCGGATGTTTCCCATTGATCCACTTCGGGAGCTACCACATGAGAAATCTATGCTGTGTACCCATTTGTACTGTAAAGAAAGCAGTGAGCTGCCTTTGAATTAATTGGAATTTTCAGATCTGTCCGTTGTTTAAGAAAAAACAAGTTTTGGATTGTCTTAAGAGCAAGCATCTGCCTTGTGAAAAGCAGAACTGGTTTGTATTGTAACAAGTGCTCTTTCAATAAACTATGAAATACTCTTGTAAGTGTCTGACTTGTCACAGTGAAATGGAAATGAAACTTGTTTGCAGGCTTGTCCTGGTTTTATTTTTTGTCTGGGGGTTGGTATTGTTCTAGCAGAGTTAAAAGGGTTTCTTAAATTGTTCCTCAGTCTGATTCTTTTAAGTCTGTCCAGCCTGTGGAAAGCAGCCTACGCAGATTTGTGTCTACTGTCACATAGCTTATTTTAATTAAAAAAAAAAAGCAGCAGCTTTTTATATAGCACAAGAGGACACAAGCCAAGGGGATACGAGCCGTACTTTGCTTCAGTGCTGTCCCATTGTACCATCTTGTGTGCTGTTTATTGCAATTCTGGAAGAAAATACAGAGCTGGCTGTTCTCTATTTGCTCAGTGAAGACAAAAGAAACTGGATTTTTTGTGTACCTCAAATACAGGAGGGAAGGGCGTACTCTGCAGTACCTTTGCAAACATCACATAGATCCAAGGACTCTTAAGCTGTTATGGTACAGTGGTCTGCTAAAAAAGCTGGTCCAGTCTGGTCTTAAAAAGCTTGGCCTAGTCTAAGTGTATGCTTTTTGGGTTTGGATTTTTTGGGGTTTTCCCCTTGTTTTCAGAAAATCTACGATTGTTGTGGCTTCAGGTATTTCTGTGCTCCTGGGCAAAATAAACTTTGCTTTCCCCTTCTCTACATTTATGGAGCTAATGATACCAACCAGTTTGAATGTGTGCCACAAAGTGGGTTGGGTTCCAGGAGTCTTGGGCATGGACCTTCAGGGCAGCTTCTAGGTGCAGGTTTTTTTAAATTTTCTAGCAGTTGAAGCACCTTTACATCAGTACTAACAGTGACGTGTGAATTATCACTAATCAGATGTGGAAATGTTTATTTGGAGAGCTGACCAATCTCTCCGTAGAGAAAACCAACCCCTTCTACAGTGCAGTAGTGCACCTTGTGTGTGAACCAACCTGAAATTCATCCCTCATCTATTGCTCAGTGCCGATTATTTTTCAACACTGCCGTGGATTGCCTCCAGACACTTGATACCAAGTCCTGTTTTTCTGCTTAGGGAAACAATACCTATTTCTTCTTTTCATTATAGGGAAAATAAACCTAAATTCTTTTACTTAATTTTGAAAGTAATGTTTGTTAGTGTGGAAACAATAAAAAGTGTCTGCTATATTAAACATGTATTTATCTAGGTATTTAAATGTACAGAAGATTGTACACTTGCTTGTTTCATAAGTCTGAAAATAGCAAAGACAAGAAGCAGGTCTTTGTCTTTGAATGAATTTCATGTGCCTGGGTTTTTCATGCTGGAAGTAGAATTTTCACAGTGGAGTGCTGCTGATTTTTGGCAAATCCCTCTGTGGCTTTTTTGTTTCTCCAAAAGAACCTGGTCAAAGATTCAACTTAAACACTCCTTGAAGA